TCTCCATTTCCAATTTTAACTTTGGAAATATATGATTTATCCAATTCCTTGAATATGGACTCATCATATGCCATGTGATGAGTACAGCCACTATCAATTAGCCAAGCTTCACTGGAGATCTTGCTTGCAAAGCAAGTGGCCACAAATAATTGCTCCTCCTCTTGTTGGTCAGCTACTTGAGCATGTTGGTCTCTTCTGTTATTTTTGCATACCTTTTCGACGTGTCCCTTCTGATTGCATGACCTACATTGGACGTCAGGTCTCCACCAACAATATTGTTGCAGATGTGAAGTCTTTTTGCAATGTGGACATTGAGGAAATTTTCCTCTTCTTCCTTCATCTCTGCTAGACTCACATTCTTTCTTGCTCTTCTTGTTCCATTGCTGTTTCTTTTCTTTGCCACCTTGTTGATTTTGAATTTTGTCTTTCACCTGAAAAGCACCTTCTACTGCTTCCTCCTTTCGGATAGCTCTTCTCTACTCTTGTGCTTGTAATGCATTGATTAGTTATGGCAAAGTGATCTGAGACAAATCCCTTGAATCTTCAAGGGAGGAAATCTTGGTCTCAAACCTTTCAGGTAAGCTCACCAAGACTTTCTCTATAACTCTGCTATATGGTAATTGTTCTCCAATCAATCTGATTTTATTCACAACATCTAAGAGTTTGTCAGAGTACTCTTTGATGTTTTCTGTGTCTTTCATCCTAAGGAGCTCAAACTCTCTCCTAAGGTTCAAAACCTGCATTTGTCTTGTTCTGTCATTGCCTTGAAAAGCCACTTTGAGAGTATCCCAAGCTTCCTTTGCAGTTTCACAAGTCATAATTTTTGTGAATACTGCATCAGAAACTGCTGAATGAATGCACGTCATGGCTTTTGATCTCCTTTTGACTGCATCTCTATGGGCTCTCATTTCTGCAATAGTTGGATCTTCCGATAATTCAGGAACAGGATCTGTCTCTACCACATCCCAAAGATCATTAGCATCCAAATAGGACTTCATTTTGACAACCCAGATTTGGTAGTTTTCACCAGTAAAATTTGGAGGATTGGACAAGAAGTTATTTCCTGGCATTTTGATGTTGAAGGCTTAAGTGTATAATTTTATAGTGAAAAGGGTTTCTCACCAAGTTCACTCACTCTCAAAGAAACAGGCCCTTAAGATTTAGGCTCTTGATACCACTTTGTTGGTTTTTGAAGCATAAACAAAGATATCAAGACTATTTAAATCTCGAGAGTTTGAAAGTCGAATAAAAAATTTTAGAATCGTCTCATCAACGTTATTGGTAATTAAGTCAAACTTTTGCGTCTTTCATCCTTTTAGAAGAGAAGAGAGAAGAGTGAAGAGTAATTTCTCTCTATCTCTCCCCTTAATTAGTGAAGCAATAATCAGTTGTTTAGGAAAGTTCCAACTCAAGGGGGCAAGTAGCAAGACCTAAGAGATAAATAATGGAGTTCAAACAAGTGAGCTTGATCAATGGTCCAAAAATTTGATAAGTATTCCTTTTTCATGCATGAACAAGAAATTTATAGTAACTCGAGCCTTGTTTTTCACTAATTTTTTGGACCTACTTTTAGCTTCTGATTTTAGAAAATTAATTATGAGATATTTTAAACTACTTTTTCTTTCAATTTTCAGCTTTTTCTAGATCTAAAATCAGAAGTTACACAATACTTGCTTTTCAAGTTCTGATTTTGGCTTTTTAAAAAAATCAAAATCAGTTGAGTGCAGGCCAGCAAAAGTTCACATCTAGGTTCTGAATTGGTCTCTTCATTTAGAAATGGTGGTTTTGTAATATTAAAAAGGGGAAAATTAGGAGAAGACAAATCCTCTTTGTTAGCTTCTTGTGCCAACTATATAAACGACGGAGGAGGATCTAGGCACTTTAATTATGAATCTCTAAACTGTCCAAATCTATAGCCATAACCAAACTAATGACTTCTACAATTCTTAGTATTAGGTATCTCATAGCATTTGAAAACTAGTCTGTCAAATACTATACCTTATCCATCTTCAATCATTTTCCACATTAATTAAGTAATTAGATGACTTCTTTGGGCCCTACGAACATCCAAAAAAGCAAAAGGCAGTGATATTATTTGTCCGTAATCACTTTTAAATGAATAATGTTGTCTATTAAAAGCCGCTTATGGCTCGTTTAAGGATGTTTTGCTAAGCATTTTTTTGACAAAGAGCAGTTATGACGGTTTAGTCAGCTTAATTAAAGTTGTTCTTGACTCTTTTTTTTTTTCTTTAATATGATTGTGTGGGTTTATATGGTAACAATTTGTCGAAAATGATTGCATCTTTTGTTACTTGTTTCCTTCTCCAACACAAAATTATAAAAGTCACTAGAAACAAATACTTTTAGGCATACTATGCACCGGCTGACTGGATCTTGGAAATCTACTAATAGAACATGTGTAAAGGGTCGTGAAATTTAAAAGTTTGTGCTCCATACTTCTAAATCTTGTTTTAGACTAATACGAGATTAACTAATGTTTGGAGAAGTATTAGTGACGCAGTCTGTAATTAATTTTGCATATATAAACTGTTATATATATATACACACACACACACACTAGTGTTCAAGTGTGTACAATCAGGGAATTTTTATAAGGATAAAATTTAAAAGATGAGAAAAAAAATATTCACACCAATATTTCTATTGTTCGGACATTATATATTGTATCCAAAGAAATGTTTGCTGCCTTGATGAATGATGCTCAAATAGAGTGTGCCCAATATCTGAGGGAAAGAAGAATCATAAAAACCCATCATGAGCAAATCAATGACTAGACTTGTCCCACAAAAACCTAATCTTTTTTGGTTAAAAGCTTAATTTAATACAAGAGAGGAGATCAAAGAGGATAAGAACATGTAGTCCCACGTATAATTAAAGAGATATTGGCACAATATTTTATTCTCATTTTCCAGATGTCATAATGGTGTTATTGTGCCAAATGTGGATCAAAGATCTAGGATAAGATACACTAAATTCCTTGAATAACAACAAAGAAAAAAAGAGAAAAAAACAATTTTTGCTGACTCGTTCCTACAAACATTATTGCTTTCTATTTCTAATCCAAGCCGTACGTGATAATCAATTTTATAGTAGTAGAGTGTTTCTTTTCTTATCCAAGTTTAGGGCTCAAGTTGTAAAGCTAAAGGAGCATAAATTAGAAGCTACACAATCCATTAAAACCTTCGACTAAATGAACTAGAATTTCTTCTTCTTCTTCTTCTTCTTCTTTTTAAATTATTATTTTCCGTTTATCTAAGAGATACTTTAAGGTCAGGCTTGATAATCCAATTCAATATTTAAATTTAATGGATTCAGATATTAGCATATTCGTGTTTGATGACAAAAAATAGTACATTAATTAATTTTAATTAAGTAGGTCTGAATTGTGTAAGCAATGCTTATTTAAAAAAAAAAGTGATAAACTGTTCACTTATCACTTAATACAAATGTAGAATGCACTCAAATGTTAACACTTCAGTATTTATAATTCAATAGTTTAATGAATTCAAATTTCAAATTTTAATTTTAAGAAAATAAAAATCATGAGCGCAGTCGAACCAAGAATGTCTCAATCAATCAAAAACAAACTTGGAGTAATACAATTGAAATATTTTTGTAAGGGCAATATTTTCAACTGTTCAACTGCTCGCCGATGGTTAGAAAATCAAATCACCATCATCTTCTCAACCGATGCAACCTGAAATCTTTTGTTTTTACCACCATATTATGTGATATCTCCGCAAAGAAAGAGTACTGTCGGATGGTTAATGTCACATAAAACCGGACAATCAGCTAATTATGTCAAGTTTTTATTGAATCCCAAATTATGTCATTTCTTGACAGAACTACAAAAGCTGGGCAGGGCATCCAAAAATTGACACGAATATGGCCATGTCACATTTCCACAAAACCAATATTGATGGTCCAGAAACGTTGATTTGAAACCATTCTGAAACTATGGGTTCTCGATTAAACATGAATGAAAAGGCCAACCAGAACCAACAAAACAAATTAAAAAAAAGGTGGTTTGCTCTTTTAGAGAAAGGATAATGAATATTGAGAAGTCATAATCACCCATTAAGTCTAAACATGTATGTTTGTGGTGCCCGCATTGACCTATACAAAATTTAGCTCATGTACGACGACATAAAGCACTATAGTACTTTTATTAAATGATTTCTTTTCTTTCTTGCTTGGGAAACAGAAAGCACTCCAGTGCAAAATGGCTATCAGGCACCTCGATTGGAAGATATTATACAGTTACTTTGAGTTACCTTTTGAAAAGATTGTAAGCAACTCTTTAAAAATAATACGTACAATTTTGTAACAAATGCATACTATCGCGTTATTGCTAATATGGATTTATACATAAGAGCTAAGTCGAGAACTACGTGCGTGATGAAAATATTACATTCAAATATTTACGCATCTATAGATGATTTGGCTATTAATTTATGGACGATACGCGTAGATGAATTTATAGATATGAGTTATGTCGAGAATCACATGTTAAAAATATTACATTCAAATATTTACATATCTATAGATGATTTTCTATTGATTGATTTGGCTATTTAACTTATGAATAATACCCGCATCCTTAGTTGAGAATTATAAGGCGTGTGGCGGATATTGAAAGGTCAAAAAAATCAAAATTTATGAGATTGCTGTTAAGTTGAGGAAGCAATTTAGTTGGAGATTCCACAAGAGCTATGAGAGTTGAGTAGGTAACAAAATCAAATTTAAGAAATGCAACCAGGCACAAGTTCAAAGAGTTGTGAGCTTTTAACCAAGTTGGGAGGTGATTAGTTTTGAGATTATCAAGACACAGCCAATAACAAAGCCAAAAAAAAAAAAAGGGAAAAAAAACTTGATAAGGAGCTTTTAACAACGGTTGAGTTTTCCAGGTGCTTTTACTAACTATGGTTAAAAAATGACCAATTGTTCATTGTTTTGTAGAGCAGGAAAAATATAGAAAAGGCAAAGCCTTGAGCTGTTTCTTCATTCGTACTGTTACTGTTTCTACTCTTTACTTGCATTTTTGTGTTGCTTCTTCCTTCGGCCAGCGTCAAAATACCCATGCCTTTCGCCGACTTCTACGAGCCCTCTGAATCCTCTGTTTCTCTTTCTGTATCAATCTCCGCTTAATGTAGTATATAACATATTATTTTAGTATTCAGCAAGTACGTTCTTTTGTCCTTGGAGCTCAAAACCAAGTGGGGCGTGTAAAGACTGTACTTTTTGGGAAGCTATTTGAAGGCATGTGGATTACAAAATATTGGTGGGTTCAAGAGAATTATCACAGCTCATTAGTGGATGTGAAAATCTTTCGAGATTTTTAAGACTTTGTTTAATAATAAAGTTGAAATCTCGTTAATGATTTTGATTGGACTAATGGGTTCTGAAAATCCTCCCCTTCTTGGAGATTGGTGAGGTGAGTGAGGCTTGGACTTAGTTCATTTTTAAGAGGTGGGTTTTTTCTTCTTTCTTCTTTTTTCTTTAAGATTAGTGCTACTTGGTTCCCTTTAACTGATAAAGAATTGAGGGTTGTTAATTAATTTAGCAATCTCGTGTGGTTTTATCTTCTAATGATTGAGTTTCAATTAAAAGATTGAATTTTTTATGGTAAAGAAGCTCAAATAGTTGGTTATCAAGTAGCTTATGCTTCCATTAAAGAATTGGTTTGACTGGTTAATATATTTTTAATGCTGTTTCTGGATTTTTATATACTTTTATTGATCGAGACATTAGTATAAACCACATGTAATTTATGTAAGCTTGTGATTTTTCTGGTGTTTTAAACACTCGTATATGTATCTTGTATATTGGATTTATCTGCTTATATGCAACTAAAATTGTCTTGTAGTAGTGGGGTAACGTCATTTGTTGATGTCGTGCTATTTGGATTTATGTGTTCCATTTTAATGTCGGTTGAGCTTTGCTGAAGTGCTTTATGTTTACACTTTTTGTGTTTCAAAAGGGGTTCTTTTGTTCTGGGGATTTTAGTTCTCTGACAAGATCAAGGGTGTGCAGGTGTTCCAGTTTGTCCAAGTTAATGAATTTCTTGCATTTCTGAGTGGGAGTTCTGTTGTTTTTTCACCATGCCCCTCTCTGAGTTCCTGAGAATGGCCAGAGGAAAGCTTGAATCTGCCCAACCGAAAACTGCATCTCCTGCAGATCTATCTCCAGCGTAAGCAGACTTTCATTTTATTTAGGAAAATGATCCACTATTACATCTTATTGTTTTTGTTTCTAGGTTGAATACTTTTGTGTTTGAAACAAATTGATGATTTCTTTCCCTTTCTTCTGTGTATTGTTTGTTACATGTTGTATGATATTGGCGTATATGGTTGCAGAACTGAAAATGATCTTGTTGAGCTACTGTGGGAAAATGGTCAGATTTTGATGCAGGGTCAGTCTAACAGGGTTAAGAAGAGCCCTAATTTGAATGATTTTCCATCACAGGAGCCTGGAATTCGAGATAGGTTCACTGGAAATGTCAGCACTTCAAAAGTTGGGAAGTTTGTTGAGATTGGGTCTACCTTGAATGATGCTATGCCATCAGTGCGATCAGGAGAGACTTATTTGAATCAAGAAGATGAGATGGGGCCGTGGTTGAATTATCCTGTAGATGATGGTTTTAGATCAGATTTTTGCTCTGAAATCTTGCCAGAAATATCTGGTGTAACTGGTAATGAGCCATCCACCCTTAACAGCTTCGGATCAGTGGTCAAGGGGAGCTGCAATCAAGTGCCCCAGCATTCATATACAGTTCCGGTGCATAATGGTTTAGATATAGAGGCAAGGAATGCATCAAAGGTTTCTTCTTCAAGGACAGGTTTGTTGAGTCCATACTCATCACAGCAATGCCAATTATCTGTTGCCCCCGCAGGATCAGGAGTTTCAAGTGTAGTTATGAATACCACAAGCAACAATCCAGTTACATTTTTTGGAGATACAGTTCAAGGTCAAGCTTCCTCAGGTGGTTTGGTTAGCATGAAGATGCAGAATCAAAAAGTGGCATCCAATTTTTTGAATTTTACCCATTTTTCAAGACCAGCTGCTCTTGTTAGAGCTAATCTTGAGAGAACTGATGGCGTAGCTGCTTCCTGTTCATCGGGTATTGAAAAGGTCTCTGCAGTGAGTAGTACTAGTCCTGTCAAATCTACACATAAGCCATCTAGTAACTCCCAGAAGGATATTTGTGTCCATAGCCAACCTAAATTGGTCTCGACCAAGGTAGATTCAAGACCATCATTTGATAAGCCACCTGAGGAGTCATGCAGTGCTCAACGACCTGATAATTTGCACTGGGATGATTCCATTAAGAATGATAAGTCCTCGAGCCCGATAATTAGTTCTAGCATCACTAAAGAAGTGAAAGACGGTGAGAATCCTGTGGAACCTGTTGTTGCTGCTTCCTCTGTGTGCTCTGCAAATAGTGGCGAGGGAGCTTCAAACGATCAGATGCATACACTGAAGAGAAAACATTGTGATAACGAAGAGTCTGAATCACGAAGTGAAGTAAGACATAACACTGACCAACTAATTTGTAAACGCTTACTGATTTACTCCCTAGTGATTAGTATAGTGAAATTAAACACCTGACATGCAGGACATTGAAGAAGAATCTGTGGGTATAAAAAAAGTAGCTCATGCTCGGGGTGTTTCTGGTTCAAAGAGAAGCCGAGCTGCGGAAGTGCATAATCTGTCTGAGAGGGTGAGGAAAACAAATTTCTGATAAAAATGACTTCATTTTGGTGTGTCTCACTTATTAATCCCTTTATTGATAATTGCAAACAGAGACGAAGAGATAGGATTAATGAGAAGATGCGTGCATTGCAAGAACTTATACCCAACTGCAATAAGGTAATTATAGATATAAACTCTTGCTTATATGCTCACTATCTGTCTGATGCTGCTAACAGCTCAGTACATAATCACTTGCAGATAAGAACCAACAGAGATAACTTTTGATTCAATGTGTAAAGAGCACTGTATTCTTATTTTAAAAAACTTTGTGTGCATCTGTCATGTGTATACCTCTTTTGGAAGATATATATGTATGGAGTATATGACGATATATGAATAAGATCTACATTACCCAACATTCTGTCCTATGACTCGAAGTATGTCGTCAAGAAATGTTTTTACTTGATTTTAGCATACTGTGTATACTTCGCATTTATAGAAAAATAGAAGCTTTAATGTGAGCCTTAGGATATTATGAGCTCACTTAATGCTTTTCTGATTGCTAGATGTTAGTTTCCTTTTCCAGTCTCACCATGTTGCTATTGAACTGAAACTGGTTTGCAAATCTTAGTGATTCAGATTAGAACTCCAAGTTTCAATTAAATAAGAATTTTCTGTTCTTTGTTTCTTGTGTATAATTTTTTTGGGATGCCTATCTTCATTTTCTAGGCTGACAAAGCTTCGATGCTTGATGAAGCCATTGAGTACTTAAAGACTCTTCAACTTCAAGTACAGGTAAGGTGAAATAGGGTCCTTTATGACTTTATTTCTACTATTATTTCGGTGGTTTATTTTCTGTTGTGTTCTACATTTATCCCTCCGGCATAGAAGTCTAAAGTGTATAATAGACCTTGCATAACTAAAAATTGCTGCTGCTAGTTTATTCTAATTGTCTATGTTTCTAGGCTAGCTTATTTATTTCACTTTATTTTCTTGGAGAAGTTTTGTGTGGGAGAAGGCTAAAGGAAGCTACATGATGAAATTGAAGATACACCTGGTTGGGCCTACCATGTATGGGTTCATGAAAGGATAGATAGGTGCTAAACCTTTGGAACTATATGCACAAGCTGGCTCTTTTTCTTTTTGTTTTCCTTCCCAAAAAAGTACTTTTTAGTGTTATTCCGGGTGGCATTTATGCAAGGAGTCATGTCCATACAAAGGCTAAAATCTATGAAACCTGGCCGTTTCAGTGGTGAAGATGTTGGATGATTTGTTTTGTTGTTTCTTCTTTTTGAATTTCTAATAACATCCTTGAAATAATTATAGTGCTTACTTTTCTCTTCTTTATCCAGGTGATGTCAATGGGAGCTGGACTGTGCATGCCTCCAATGATGTTTCCAACCGGATTACAACACATGCACCCTGCTCATGTACCACATTTTCCTCCCATGGCTGGTGGAATGGGCTTGGGAATGGGTTATGGGATGGGAATGCTAGACTTGAATTCTGGATCTCCACGATTTCCAATATTTCCTGTACCGCCCATGCAAGGAGCACATTTCCCTTCTCCAACTATTTCTGGGTCTTCTGGTTTCCAAGGCTTAGCTGGATCAAACCTTCAGGTGTTTGGGCATCCTGGTCAAGGAGGTCCTATGTCAATCCCAAGAGCTCCCTTAGTTCCTTTGGTGGGGCAAGCTCCCATAAGTTCAGCTGTGGGTGTGGATACCTCAAGAATGGGAATTCATGTTGAAGCTTCAAATGCATCTCCAACTTTAAATTCTGTTGTTGAAGTGCAGAATAAAAATTCACAGCTAAATCATAAAACTGATACTGGCAGCTCAATAAGCCAGACATCTAGTCAGGTTTGTGGTTTATGCATGAGTTAGCTTGTTTGCACTCGTAATCAAAGGAGAGATTCTTTCTTATAAATTTGCCTCACCAATCCCTGTAGTAACTGCAGCTTCAAAGTTTTTGAGCAAAGATAGCAATTTACTGCTTTTGCTCTCATTGCTTTCCTTGCAAGTTCTTTTCCTTTTTCTTTCCTGGTGAATTTACATTTTGCTAGGTAGTTGTGGGGGATTTGTTTATCAATATTTATGATTTCATTAGACTAATACTCCACCTCCTATTGCTATAATCATTCTTTTGTTTTTGGGATTTCCCAATTGTAATCATGCTTTAGAGGTGGTATCCTTGTTTTCAACATAGATTTCATTTGAAGGAGAACAAGTGTTGTTCCTTTTACATTCTTGTGGTGAAATATAACCTCAATTCATCTTTGAAAAGTATGGAATCATTTCAGAATTTGCCTTGTTGACTAAATGGGCCAACCAGTTAATGCCTTGTCTGAATTCTAGATGCATTTCTTAGGAGTTAAAACAAGTCAGACATAGAGCTAGTAGCTCTTCTCTAGAGGCAATAATGGAAAGTTCGCTGTGTATGTTGGTACAACTTTGCTGCTCGTAAAGAGTTGAATCACAGATTGACTCTTAACTTCAGGATGAGGCGGAAGTAATTGGATGCAGATCAATTGTTATCGTTCCTCTGTTCTCTGTTTTCTTTAGTGCCTTTTTTAATTACTGTCCTGCCTGCTCATATGTGCGAGTTACAATTTTTCTTTGATTAAATTTCATTCAGCTGATTGTTAGGGTAAATGTTGATCTCTGAGTTCAGACTTTGAAGTCATTGCCCAAGTTTATACTTGGTTATAAGCTATGGAGCTACATTTGCAACTTCTGGTTTCATGCTGTCTGTTGCACTTGAATATGAGAAGATAATCTCAGTCAGATGGTATCCAGCTTTTAGTTCATTATACCAGATTTAAGGCAAGAATGGCATATTATCCAAGAATATTCCGGTTATTGTTGGTTGGTTCCTGTAAAATCTCCGATAATCCTTAAGGACTGACAATTACTTTTCCAAAATTAAAATTTTTTTTGACTAATAAAAAATTCTAGTCAAGCACATCAAGGGGGAAAAGATGAACGCTGGTGGTTATTCTTAGTTGATATACTGTGACAAGCTGGGCATCTAAGATCAATATGGAAAACAAGCTTTTGTGTTTCATTTTTTGTTCTTCTGTGCCCTTGAGAGAGGAAAGAGGTAGTCTGGTTTTGGGACACTTGACCGTAGACCTGAATCTGATGACTTGGTTCTTGTCAATAATGTGATTGAAAACTTGTATTTAGCTTGATATTTGCAATATGATTTTTTTCTTTGTCCTTGGCATGACAACATCTGATGTATCTATCATGTGTGGTTTTTCTATTCCTTTTATCTGGTCATTAAGTATCAATTAGATATAACGAAGGGTAGACTTCGGGAAGTTGTATTCTTTTTGCTCTTATAAATTATGAAGGACTGAATCTTGATATACCTCAGAACAAGATTGCATTTTGATGTGTACATGATTGTTTGCTTCCTCATCAAGCAGAAATGTTGATCCATGTAGCTTTATGCTATTATTAGAGGAATGGGTGAGATTTTGTCTGCTTGATAGTTGCAGAGCATAACTAGGACGACAATTCCCGATCCATGTATTCATCGATTTCTAGATTTCTTTTCTATTCCCCCCTTTTGTCCTTTGTAAATTTATTTGTTTGTGCTTGATTTTCTTCTTTCTTTTTTCCTGGCAATTTCAGAGGCAAACTTCATACTTCTTGTTAATTTCTTTTCGAAGCAAAACCGATCTTTTCATTTTTCAAATAATTATTCACTCTTTAAGTCTCATTCATTCCTTCTGCTTTGTTCTTCCTTATCTCTTTCAGTCAGAACTTCTGATTTGAGTTTTTTTTTCCAAAAAAGAAAAAAAAAAAGTTCAAGTTCTATGTTTGTTCAGAATCTGGATAGACTGTTGATCAGCTTTCTAGCTGATTTGATTAGCATCCGTTGCGCCTATTCATCAACTCTCTTATCTCGTCAGCTGCAGGCGACAAGTAAGGAATTTGATCAGTCTGCCATGACTTCAAAGGATGATCAGGCACCTGATGTTTGTGCTGCGGCCTCCGTTAACATGGCCAGTACGACTGATCTCGTATGTGACAAAGAAAAGGGTGAGTATATCATTTTCTTATGACTTAACAACTGGTATTCTGGATACAGATGCCCCCCTGCCTCTCATCTCTTTCTTCCCTCCAGATGTTTATGCGACAAGCCATGTCTGTGAACTGAAGTTCTTCTCTAAAATCATTGGATAATGAGGCTAAAAACACCCCGTTTCATGTGCAGGGAGTAATGGGATGTGCAAGGAGTGATTAACAGTGATAACTAAGGTTCCAGCAGCCACATGGAATTCTTCCAGTTAGTGCCATTTCTGTCCTGAGAAAGAGTCATTGGTGACTTGTATGAAGACGAGGGTTCTGCCAAGTTGTAGACACCAAAGAATCGTTTTACGTTATTGACTTACCTGATTTTTAATATTAGGACTGTATATTACAAGCTGCACAGGTTTTTGTTTTGAAGAGGACTTTTTGCTTCATATGTTCACTTTTTTTTAACGTAAACTCTGCTGCAAGAGCAGCTGGTTTTGATCTTGAGAAATGCAATGAAAATGGTTATTGGACATGTTACCTGTACATTCCCAAAAAAAGAAAGAAAGAAATTCGCCAAAAATTTATGAGAGATAAACTTCAAAAAATTCAACATATATAGAGAGGCAATTTACAAACACACATACAAATATGTATTGTAGAAGAAGAATGATACCAACAATAATTTAATAATTACTCGCCATAATAATATAGCTATCAAATATCTCTCTTTTCAACTGACAGCAATTATAAAATTTCCTATTTATGGATTAGATGACTTGGTAAATAAACTTTACAATCATAAGAAATTTTCTAGAAGTAAAACACTGATTTCCTAATAATAAAACTATCATAACTTGATTCGGATAGAATTACTAAAATTTTAACTTAATTAAAATACTGCTAAATAATAATACGAAAATTTCTATTTTTTGAGCGTTGATTTAATATGCTAACATTACCAGTTTTTGTCGAATCAAGCTTTATTGTTGTCTGTACATTTCAACACTAAATGTGCGTTTCAGAAATTTTCACTCTCTGTAACTTTTGAGCATAAATTACAGATCTCAAAATGTTTTAGTCAAGTTCTCACTGGCCGATCAGGGGCAATGTATTTTGCACGCCGTGCAATTCTGCTTGCACGTGATGTAACTTACTTTTCACAACGTGTAATTTAAAAATAAAAATTTTATGAGTCTTATATATATTGTTAAAAAAATAAGATATAATATGAGATTTGAACCGTATAATTTTTTTCGGTCAAATCTTGATCGTGAATTGCGAGGATGCAACCGTTCCTGTCCCTCTTCCGTCTTCCGCCCATCACCCAAAGTATCAATCAACGAGTACTTTCTACAATTTTTTTTTATGTGGCATGATGCGTGAGTCTACGGTTATGTGGCATTATACTTTGGGTAAAACTGAAAACTTGGCAAGCCACGTAAGTAATAAAGGAGCAACAGCTGTGGAGTCTGGGAACTTCTTCTCTTGACGGCCGGCAATTCATCGCTCTCTTCTTGATTTGACATGAATCTGAATTGCTAGTGCCTGTAATCCTCCTCGTATATGATGACCTTTTGACCAAAAAAAAAAAGAAAAAAAAAAGTAATCCTCCTCGTGTGATGTCGATAGTGAATAGTTTATTTGTTTTAACTTGATAGTCGGAATTATCCCTTTGAGGTATGGTATGGTCCACTAGCAAAAATGTATCCAGGAATTTGTTGAACTACAATTAATCAATCACCTTTAGTTAAAAAAAAAAAAAAAATTTTTTTTTTTAAGCCACAAGCATTGAATCACTTTCACATTACATTAAACGTAGATCAGATTTGCAAAAAATATAGGATTTACAAAGCCCTAGACATAACGAGTATATCAGTGTTAAAGAAAATAAAAGAACAAAGCGAAAAATTTAGAGATAAAAACTCGTTTGATAAAAGTTAAATCTGAAATCTAAAGATTTAGCGTTGAAAGTATTAAGTAGCTAAATTGATAATTATAATTTTATACCTAAAAAGCGTCTGTATTTGTGTGCTTGGAGAGAGAGAAAAAGTACGCAGGAGTAAATAATGAAATATCCGAGAGATAGTTTCGAATAGTATATATTTGTGTGTGAGAGTGTAAGTGTAGAATAAAAAGAGAAAAAATGTGTATTTTGTGTGAAAGTATATTTGAGAGCGCGCTATGTGTGCGAGAGATGTAGTATGTGTTGTCAATTCAATAAAAAATTTTCACTTAAAATTATGCATACAAATTAAACGGTGCTTAATATATTAAGTGATAAGCCATTTTCATTATCAAACATGTTGAATTCAAAAAGTTCTACACGAATTAATTTCCAACATTAAATAAAAATCTCAACCACGTATTTAGATGTATGCACCCTAAGTGGCTTCTCTAGAATCCTCATCTTTTAGCAACTGTTGCAAACAATCCAATCTCCCTTTCTTGCTCTTGATTAATTACCTCCACAGAGGTAGAAAGGTCAGTGTAATTTTTCCAAACCTTGGAGTTTCATGAATAATTTTGCCCAGCTTTAGAGAAGACTTGTGTCAATGATAATAATGCCTCTTGCTTTGAAAAGATTCCTGGGTGATAATGATGTATATCATCTGTCATTGTTATGTAATGGAGTAATATGGCATCAGTCATTTGTCCCTACTACTTTTGGACCGTTTCTGTGTATCCTCCATATGGAGCTGCCCAGCTCTGCTTTTCTGAAAGTAAAGGAATACAATTGCTATGCAAACAGCTAGTCTTGTGAAATATCTGCTTGGCCTGTGGCCACATCTTGGCTAAGGCCAAAAGAACCCTAGCTTAAAAGCAACAAGTGCCTTGTCAAACTGGTATTTCTAGATGGAAAAATCTTGCATGTTTTGGCATGCACAAATATCATCAACTGCTGCAGAAAGTCTAGAATCATGTCTACTACTAGCCAATGTTCTTTGTATAAAAAACACCATGGAGCAGGAATTCCTACCTTTTCTTTGTTCCGGTTAGCAAGTCTTGACAAACCTGATGATATTGACAGGAGCAACAAAGAGCTATTTGATTAAATCTTAAGAGCCAAGAAGGATGTGGACTGCTTCAGGCAGTTACTGAAGCAGATAAAATTTCCCTGTCAGCCAATACATGACAATAGGTAGCAACAAAGCTCCTCAAGCAAAATAACATATTCTGGTTTCTTGAAACAAGAAGCAGATAAACACTAAAAAACACTAATGACAGCTTTGATGAGTAAAATAATATTCACAATGTAACAAATCTATACGCTCCCTCAACAAACTGAATACAATCAAATTCACCCACAATGGTGCAAATACACACAACTCAATGAACAGGTAGGAAAAGAGAAGAAAAGCAAAAGAAACCAAAAATACAATCTTCCTACTATTTGGTATGTAGCAAAGCGGTATCATACCACGGTAGCAAAAAAATCCACTAATGCAGGCAAACCAATCTGGAAAACAAAATATATCACACCCTCAATAAAATTACCCCTTCCTTGGTCTCTATATTGTTTCTTTAACTTGATCTCTATAGTAGCCAGGACATTACTCAGCTTTTAACCTCCTCTTTTGTTTCAGGGGGTGGTGCCGCTGGTGTTTTTGCTGGTGATTTTCCAATGATTGCTTTCTTTGCCTTAACAAGAGAATGCTTCACCTTAGAAAGTATGTTAGTTGATTTTTGGGTTGTCTTCCCTGGAACCTCTTCTTTAGGAGCTTCTTGTGTTGTTTTCAAGTCACCAACTTCTTTGGACTCTTCAACTGCAACATCAGTTTTTTCAGTCTCTTTAACAGCCTCTGCGGCTTCCTCTGCTTTTGTTTCTGTCTCAGGCTCAGCCTTCTCCGGTTCTTTTTCGACATCCACATTTTTGTCTACTACTGCATCCTTTTCGGTTTCAGCTGAAGCCACGGTTTCTTCTATTTTGGTCCCAATTTCAGCAGGAAGTTCAATATCTCTAGACATTTGTTTTACAGATTTACTAGAATCTTCAGGAGGAGGAATAGAACTGGTAACAGCATCAACTTCCTTCGCTTCCAGCTGAGATGATTCCTCAGAGATACCGTTTTTCTCTTCCTTTTCTTCAGTCTTCAAATCCTTGGTTTCAGTTTCCTCCTCAACCTTTTCCAGCAATTCTTCCAATGTCACTTGCTTTTGAGGTTTGGCAGTCAATTCTTTTTCTTTGTCCTCAGCCTTTTCTGCAACTTCAGTTGGAGGAACTTCTACATTTTCTGTTTCAACTTGAACTGCCACAGGGGTTGAAGCAATCTGTTCTGAACTCTCAGTGGCAGTAGATTCTACTCCCTCTGCCAACTTAGTTTCATCAATCTCATCAGTTGAAATTTCTCTGTCTTTTATTGTTTCCACCTCTATTTTCTCTTCAGGCTCAGCCGTTGCAGCTTCTTTCCCAGTTTGTTCTGTAGCTACAGGTTTTTCTTCTGGCCTGTCCTCTGCTACCGGTTCTGGAATCGAAATTTCTTCTTTCCCGGGCTCTGCTGCTGAAACTTCCACGACATCAGCCGCAGCTGCCTCTTCTACTTGCTCCATTTTCGTCTCAATAGCCCCATTTACTGGCTCTGAAATATCAATTTTCTTTGGTAACTCCTCTACTTGCTCCACTTTAGTCTCAACACCCTCCTTTACTGCTTCAAGAACGTCAATTTTCTCAGGTGACTCTTTCACTTCCTCCTCTTTAGTCTCAATAGCCTCAGTGGCTGCTTGAGGTATATCAATTTTCTCTGGCAACTCCGTCACTTCCTCAGCTATTGTTTTAGTAGCGCCACTCACTGATTCAGGGATATCAATATCTTTTGGTATCTCTTCAACTTTCTCCTCTTGTGCCTCCACAGCTTCAACCACTGATGCAGGAATATCAATTTCCTTTGACTCCTCTACCAGCTTCTCCTCCTCGGATCCTTTTGGGGGTTCTTCTTGTGGCGTTTCCAAATTTTTTATCCCTGAGTGCCCTTCTGGTTCACGTTTTAGAATGTTATCCGCTACTCCTGCAACATTAACAGTTTCTTCTTTGGGAACATATTCTTTTGCTAATTCCGGATTATCTTTGGAAGAAATATCCAGAGCAGGGATATCATCAGGTTTCTTAATCTCTTCAATTGCAGGAGGCTCAATGTGCTTATCCTCAATCTTTTCTTCCGGTTCAGCTGATGTAATAGGCAAACTTGGGGGCTCCTCGGCTTTTGGCTTCTCTTCCACCTCAGCTTTCACGACCTCTTCAACTACAAGTGGTTCACTTTGTTTCTCCTCCATCTTTTTCTCTGTTTCAGCCAATGGTACTGCTGTTTCACCAGGGGTGGTCTCATCTTTTGGCTTTTCTTCATTTCCCTTGGGTGGAGAAGTACCGTCTTCTGCAATTTTCTCTACCTCTTCTTTTACTTCCTTCTCAACTTGCTGCAATTTAAGTAAAAGCAAGTTAAAAAAATGCCGAGAAAGCGTAGGAAATCATTTGCATTCCGAAAAGGGGAGCATCTTATCCTAAACGAACCTAATTAGTAAAGTTAAAGGAACTGCAAA